CAGCGACAGAAGGAAGACACAGCAGTGTGTGCAGATGCTGGTAGATGGGTGACTATAGTGCTGGGAGTCTGGGCAGTTCTTGCTTCTATTTTCTCAAAGGTTATCAGCTGAAGGGGGGATGGGAAAGGAGAAGCTGGGGTTGAGGATAGAAGTGAAAGTGTGAGATAGTCATTTAGCGTGGGGGAGGGGCAATGGGCTCAGGACCCATGGTGTGACTGCTGGGCAGCACTGAGGACCCACCAGAAGTTCACGGGCCAAACTTAAGGTGAGACCAGTCAGGACAGTGGTTTTTCTCAGCCTCATTCAGCTGCTCAGGTACAGGCATGGAGTAGGCCAGGTGTGCATTGAACCAGTGTTGGGGTTTTGCCAAGCAAGTATGAAGAAGCAAAATGAGGTGAGGGGTTGGAGGTCTGCAGGGGAGGGAGTACCCCGACATCTATAAGGGCAGCTGCCTTTGAGCTGGCCCCTGGTCCTGCTCAAGTCTGGAAGCCCTCCATTCAGAAGCAAAATGAGGTGAGGGGTTGGAGGTCTGCAGGGGAGGGAGTACCCCGACATCTATAAGAGCAGCTGCCTTTGAGCTGGCCCCTGGTCCTGCTCAAGTCTGGAAGCCCTCCATTCACTCTGTGGGGTGTGTGTGGCCTTCCCTCTGCCCTCACATCAAAATGAGCTTCTGAGAGGGTAGCCACAGGTGGCCACCAACAGCTGGAGAAATGAGCTTCCCACAATCCGTTCCTATGACCTGGAAAGCGCCTTGGATCTCACACACTCAGAACCGCATCCTCTCCACCATCCTTCCCACGCCATCGCTCAGCCCTTCCTGCCACTCAGCCCACCTCTAGTCAGACACCAGGGCTCATCTATTCTGCCCCCTACATCTCTCCTTACTCCAGCCCCTTGTCTCCATCCCTCATCCACCACACCCCAGTGCCAGCAGGGCCACCAGACCACACAACTCCATTCCCTCTGTGCACCACATGCAGCAGCCCCAAATCCAGTTCCCAGGCATCTTGTCTCTTTTCCACCATGCTGGCCCAGCCAATGCCTCTCCATCCTCCTCAGAGCACCTTTCCAGCACTCAGAAATGCCCCATCACTCCCCTCTTTACAACCCTCAGTGGCTCCCAGTGCCCTTTGGGAAAAGGCCATCTCTTCAGCCCCTTCAGACCAGCTGTGGTCTGGGCCTACCTCCCTGTCTTGCCCCCATCCCCTCCCCCTCACTCTGCCCCTCACTACTCTCTGCAGGCCTCGCCTCTCCCCCCACCAACAGCACCTGCCTGAGCTGAAGCCCACCCCACCGCACTGCATGTGGTGAGCTCCCCAACAGTGGCTGCTTGATCTCCACTCTCCAGTATCTGGTCTGAAGTAAGGGTCAGTTTTGGGGATCTGATGTGGTGGATGCAGCTTCTGAAGGTAGGGAAGGGGGAGGAACAAGATTGAAACAAAGGAACCCCTCAGCTAAGTGACCTAACTTAGCACCATATGTTATAGGACAAACATATAACATGTGCCTCCTGATGTGATGCACTGAGAAGGACATGACATCACCTATGGGATAGTCTTGCCCAAAAATGTTTAACCTGAATCTAATCATGAGCAAGCAGTAAGACAAATACAGAATGTGGGACATTCCACAAGACTTCAAAATTGGCAACGTCATAATAAAGCTTAAAAAAAAAAAGCAAGTGATTAAGCCAGACTAAAAGAGACCAAAGAGACATAATAACTACAATGTATGCACCTTGATCAAAAAAACAAACAAAAAAACTTAGCTACAAAGGACTTTGCTGGCACCACTAGAGAAATTTGAATATAGGCTACATATTAGTTTAAACTTCATTATTACTAAATGTCTCGGGTATGAAAATAGCATAGACATTTTGTAGAAAAAATACCCTTGTCTCAGGAAATACATGTGGCAGTACTTAGAGGTGAAGTGTTATGATGTCTGCAACTTACTTTCAAAAGGTTGAGAGAGAGAGGCAAATCTAGGTCTCTAGGTGAAGGGTATATAGGTGGGTGTTCATTGTACTATCTGGTTTGACAAGACAAAAAGTTAGGTGGGAGAAGGAAGACAGTGGAGAGAGACACTCCAAAGGGGAAAGCTCAGGGCTGAGCTTGTGGGGCAGAAGTCAGAGAAGAGGACAATCCACTGAGCAGCCCACACACCTGTGGCAAGCTGGACTATGGGCCTGCCCTGGGCTGGACACTGGAGTATCCTGGGCCAGGCAGGCTCAGCTCTGGAGTGGCTCAACATTTCAAGGGGCTAGACCCCAAGGAAGCAGACTCACCTGTGAGCAAAACCGCCAGCTTAAGGAGACAAAGGCCAGCTCAAAGGGAGACCAACAGGGCAGCCCTCAGTGGGGGCAGGGACATGGGCCCCTTCCCCCCCTCTGCTGAGCTGTGGCAAGGAGCCAGGTCTGGCCCCAGGCCCACCCCATCCCCCGAACACCCCTTGAGGGGTGACAGCCTGAGTACATCCTCCTGTGCGAGGAGCTGGACTCAATATGGAGCCCCAGACATAAGATGCCGCTCAAAACAGATTTTCCTGGAAAAGACCATCTGGCAAAGGAGGTCTAGAACATCATCTGTCTCGAGAGGCAGTGTCAATCTCCTGCAAGCTGACATCCGGAAGGGAAAGTCTTGATCCCACCTCCCTAGGAGATCTCAGCTTAGTGCCTCAGTTCCCCCAATGTCAGCCCTTTGTCCAGGTGGAGAGGCACTCACTCCCACCTAAATTGTATCTCCAGGGATGAAGAGGATGAAGTTGGGGACATAGGTCTGAGCATCAGACAGCTCTGACCAGGTGTAAATCTTGACCCTGGACACTTACTAACCAAGTGACTTTGAACAAGCAATTTCTCCTCCCCAGGCTTCAGTATTCTCCTCCACAAAATGGGAATAATAGTAGTGCCTCCCTCTAAAGGCTGTTAAGTGTATGATAATACTTAGCACAGTGGCAGTGTTCAAGATATGGAAGCTGAGCAAGGTAATGTCTCCCAGACCCTCTTTCTCTCCTGTCCACAGCAGGAAGTCACCCAGCTAGCTTTGCTCTCTCCCTTCAGGAAAGACTCTGGAAGGCAGTACTGTTCAGGACTGTTTGAGGAGCATGCACCCCATAGCTGTGAGACCAGGACAAGCAGCAAGAGGGAGACCTCTCCACCTGGCACAAAGTGCACCTGGGGCTACAGGGTACAAATCACCCAAGCATTGAGACTCCAACCCTGCAAGAGGCACTGGTGGGGGAGGCCTTCCAAGGATATCCCAGTCATCTCTCTACCTTTAGCTGGGCCACCACCTACCTATTAACCTCAAAGTGTGGGAATCCTCTGGGGGTTCTGGCCACACACTAGGGACCTGCCATGTTTCCACCAGAGCCAAACTTTGCAATAGCTGCCCTCAAAAGCCACTGGTATACTGAAGAAAAGAGGCTGTTGGGAAGGCAGGTCTCTCCTCCAGAGACGGGAGGTGGCAGGAGAGGGCAGCTGTCCTATTTTACTGGTTCAGAGATCCCAGGTCACAGAACTTGCAGCTTCCTTGAGAGGCAGGTTTCCTAACCTCCCAGGGGAAGGTGTCGAAGAATGACAGTACCTGCCCAGGGCTGGGGGTTGGGCTTGGAGGTGGTTCCAGTGCCCCTCACCCACTATCCTTCAAGGGGCCTGAGTAGCCACCATCAAGCAGCTCTTGTTTCCATGGTCTAGAAGAAGGAGATGGGGAACCCAGGAAAATCCAAATGCCTCTCCCCAGACCCAGGCTGCCTATTTGCCCTAGCCGAACCCTGAGCCCTCTCCCTGGTCCCCATCAAGCTCAGTCTGGCTTATCCTGAGACCAACAGGAGTCTTAGACCCTCTTCCATTGTGACTGGTGCTTGCCCCCAGTTCTCTTCCTGGACCCCCCTAGACAAAGGGGTGGGTTTGGGGCAGTGGCCCCCCGGGCCTGCGCAGAAACAATGCCCCCAGTTCTCATTCCAGGGAGCCTCCAGGTATTCCAGGGGCAGCAGGAGTCTGAATATCTCCTGCTAGGAGGTGGCCAGTTGGGCAGGGTGGTCCCCACATCTGGGCTCCCTGCCCCACCCAGACCCAGAAGCCCTCTCCAAGGACCCCTCCCTCCCTGCTGCTGCCACGGCCATTATGTGCCTCCTCAGCCTAGACAAAGGGGTGGGTTTGGGGCAGTGGCCCCCCGGGCCTGCGCAGAAACAATGCCCCCAGTTCTCATTCCAGGGAGCCTCCAGGTATTCCAGGGGCAGCAGGAGTCTGAATATCTCCTGCTAGGAGGTGGCCAGTTGGGCAGGGTGGTCCCCACATCTGGGCTCCCTGCCCCACCCAGACCCAGAAGCCCTCTCCAAGGACCCCTCCCTCCCTGCTGCTGCCACGGCCATTATGTGCCTCCTCAGCCTTAACGGCCGCCTGCCACGCCCCCATGTTAGCCCCTGCTCTAGCGGCAGAGCCGGGAGGCCTGGCCGCTAAGCCAGGCTGTCAAAGTTGGGAAACTGGAAACAGAAATAAATCCTCAAAGCTGCTCTGTGGTGAGGGTGGCTGCCGGCAGGCCACAGCACCCAACACCCCTACTCCCGGCCACCAAGATGCCACTGGCACCCCATCTGCACACACACACTCAGATTATACAAGAGGGGAGGGGGCTCAGGAGACAACTGGGCTGGCTGGCCTGACCCTCCCTGCAGGCGGGGCTGGGGCTCTCGGGAGGAGCCCCACTCCCCGGCCCAGACCCGGCCATCCCGGGCTTCCTCCCGCGGCCCCATCTCCATGACAACTGTATCCTTCGGATGCTCCAGCCGCCGCCGCGGAATTGATCTCGAAACGTAGCTTTGTTAGCAGACCCGAGCGGGCACAGAGGGCGGAGGGCGGCGCCCGCCACCCAGCATGCGTCCCTCTCCCCGCCACCCCCAGCACCCCCTCTCGGTCCCCAGGTTGACTCCAGAGGGGAGGGGCGGGGTCCCGGAGCACGCGAGCCCTGGGGACAAGGTGGCCCCGCGGCCCCACTCACCGCTCCTGGTCCCAG